ATTCTGATGTAAGGATATAAATGAACTAGTGTAGATAATAAATATTGTGACGTGTACTTACAAACATACTTGTACGTATGCTTGTTTATTTATGCAAATGCAATATAACTTAAAATTCTCAAAGAAAGTCTGTTTGTACATACGTGTGCACCTTTACCGGCTTACTAAGGACCAGCCAATGAGGTGAAAGGCTATGTATGTATATATGTTCTTTTACATACATGTTAGAGGGCTGCATGAATTCATTCAAACTTCTAGCCAAACAGAGTACAGTATATTTGAATATTTTACTTCACATATAAAACACTCAGCGTTTGGAATTTTGAAAGTTATGAATATACATTTTGTTTTAAATTTTCTACCTACAAGTGAAAAAATGTGAATGAATGAATGAAAAACATTTAAGTCATTCAAACTCATTTTGGTTAAGGCGTTTTTCTGCAAGGAAATTTGTTCATATTTTAATAGGTGCGTGGCACTACATACTTACATGTTTGTACATATCGATGGTCCTCTGCAATAACGGTACAACTCAAAATTTCATGTTTTTTAGTTACATAGCGGATTAGGTTTATAAATAACCATATTATCCTGTGGAAAATCGATATATGCTTAACTGTTACCTATTCGACAGGGGCGCAGTTTTGCCATTTGTCACAAAAGCGAATTAGCCAACCCTTACTACTGAACAGTCGCACATCTCTCACATTTATGGTGAATATTGGCAAAAGTCAAAAACTGTAATATATTTCGTATTTTTGCAGTCGCTCAACTGCTAAATCTTTAGTAAAAGTCATCATTTGAAAGCTTACAAATTGTTCATACAGTATGAAGGAATGAATGAATAATCTGGAATAATTACGTTCCAAGACATATTATTGCTTAGTTACGAAAAACAAAATCTTTAATTGGCTCTACTGAAAAATATGAAATTTTGAGTTGTGTCGTTATTACAGAGGACCATCGATATGCACATAGAAAACATATTTTTGGATATTCATAAAAAAAATTTTCATTTATTTCAATTCAATTAATTTTTAATTTCTTTGAATATTGTAATGTCGACACATATATCAGAACAGGTATTAACTCAAATTCAAAAAAAATTTTAAGCCAAAATCATTCATCCGTTTTATATATGAATAATTCACAAGCCGTTTTGAATGAATTCATGCAGCTCTCTAATACATATATAAAGTCACCCGAAATGCAAAAAGACGTAACAAACATCATCGTTAAAATGCAAAAAATCATAACTAATAAAAAATTCAAAATTCACTTTTTGATTTAAATGATGGATTTCATCAAATTACAACTCCCAACATCATTTTAAGAAAAAATAAACAAAATAAAAATATTGTAGACCGATCAATATCCAGGCAATATTTTTCTGTAGAACAAGTTTGTGTATTATTGTGTGGAATAGGTTTTTTTAATTTGAAAAATGGAGCCACAGTTGAAAACCATTGGAATTGCTAAGTGCACCTTTTTAATACACCCGGTATACCGGTGGCGTAAATTATATCATATACATTCTCCGTAAGCTTTTAATTTAAATTCGTGTGCTAGGTTATAAACTCCTATGTACACTCGTGCTCTACTCCCAGACTATAGTACATATATGAAGGCATTAAATATGACATCGTATCAAAAGATAGCACGTTGAAAATATAAGTTTTGAGATAAAGGACAAAATTGATTTTAAAAAAGGTTAATAGAGTCAAGGTACACAAATATAGTATGAAATCTTGACTTACGGTTCAAAAAACTGGTTTTGTGTACCTTTGCATGCTTATAAGCCTTTAACTTAAAGCTTAAACAGACGGCAGCGTTGATCCGGATTAACTCGGACTTAATCCGGATCAACTGCAGTTAATTCCCGAGTTAATCTGGATCAACGCTGCCGTCTGTTTATGCTTTTAGATGTTTACAAAACGACTTTTTGTTTCTTACTGATTTCAGACAGAAGGAACTATTAAAAAACAATGTTCTTATGCACTCTCTTATAATGAAACCGCAGTGGTGTGGTGGTCAGAAGTGCGCACTACCGTTTCGCAGGGCCTGAGGTCGATCCGGCAAAAAGAAACAGTTTTTTTCTTATACGTTCGTCCCTCGTCAGGCAATGTCAAACCTCTGATTGCATTTCTGCCATGAAAAGAGCTTCCCATCAAAATACAATCCCCTTTGTGTGACAACATTGAGGCGCACGCCACAAATCAGAGGAGAAGCTCGGCCATACACTAACATATTCATGAGTTTCATTATTTCCCGAACCGGTTCACTTTTAAACTTTTGGTTTCCATGTATTTACTATGGGCGGAATAAAAATTTTCGCGTGAAATTTTTTTCGAACGAAACTCAGGATAAGGCAGATTGTGGAAGCACCAATATATTACTATTATGTACGGTGCAGAATCATGGACCATAAAAATGTCTGATGAAGCGGCTATTGGAGTGTTCAAAATAATGATTCTGCGGAATATTTACGAACCTTTACGCGTTTGCCACGCTGAGTACCACAGACGATGGAACGGTGGGCTGTATGAGCTTTGCGAAGCGATTTGGCATATGTATGTACGTGTTTTCAGGCTGAATGCTTTGAAAGGCGTCGGAATTATTTGTTGTTAGGAGCAACAATCCCAGCAAAACCAGCGTGACCGAAACTCCAACACAAACACAAATTTGATGGTGTTACTAACACACCTGTAATAATTTTTGATTGAAGGGCCATCTATGGTTTTTTTGTGCGAGATATATTTTGCATATGAGTAAGTAGTCAAGCTAACCTTTTCACATATGAGCAAGCAGGCACTCTATTTGGTTTAAAAAATCACACGTACACAAACTTCTGGGAGCATTTTTGATTCACTATTAAGAATGTGATAGCAAAACGTGCCGAAATTTAGCGGGCACGCGTGGCGGTCACGTCACTAGGAAAGTGACCGTCACTGTTCTTGCTGGCAATGAAATTCTGACAATCGAAACGAAAAATTTTCGGCACCAAATTTGTCTAACTGAAAAACAGCGGGACCTGAAAGTATGCAACATGGAAAAGTAACAGATGAAATGTGTACACTGCAAAATCTGGCAGTATGAGGGGCATGTAAGTAGGTGTTGCAGGTTGCTAGGCGCGCCTGCTATTCTCTTGGAGATTTTTGGCGATCATAATTAGCGATAGCGAATGTTGGAATCCAGGTGCAGGGCACTTGCGTTTTTCATATAGCTTCGCCGAGCACTTCGGCTATTTCCTGGGCCAACCGATTAATACTCACTGCTTCAGTCATTTGGCTACGATGGCAACAGTTTAAAACGTGTCTTAGATATCTAATGTTGCCTTTTAATTTTTGTTTTCAATTGCAAAACAGAAGACTACAAACAAAGAGGAAAATAGTGGCTATTTTTACGCTTTTGCTATGCTTCAAGGGTTTTAGAAAATTCTAGGTGGCAATATTCTTGTCTTCATTCAATTATTTCATTCAATGGCATTTCGGTTATTTAATAAAAAAAAATCCAATTTAAGGCATAAAAGGATATGCACAGGAAATTATAAAATTTCAATAAAATTGTACTTAGCAGAAAAAACTCTTGGCAAAACGGAATTTTCGATAAACTGCAGACAAATTTGTGTACAGAGCAACTATGTAGTTTGTAAGCACAAGGAAGGTGCAGTCATAGATATGTAGATACTTGAAGGCAAGCAAATCTGCATTAATATGCATGCTCTTCCGATATATGTTCGTATTTAAATGTATATTCATGTAGCTACGTCCGTATGCCAGCCTTTTATTGTGCTCGATTTGGTGTGCATTTTCTGCTTGCCACACAAAAATCGCTCATACCACGCAGCTGAAAGTTTATTTAATATAGTAAAATGCACATTTCGTATTCCTGTCGTAGTGCAGAATGTTGGCATATCTCAGCAGAGATTGCTGCTACGAGCAGCAAGCAATGTGATGCTGGAATAGGATCGGAAGTTGCTGCTAAAATCAGCGCAACATCAGAGCCTACGTGAGAGGTACCTACATATGAACATTTTGAAGTTTCTTTTCGACTTCCTTTCCTACTACAACAACACTTTCATAGTTGCGTCGTCCAAGTTATTTCTGTGATAAATAAATAAAATTGCAGTGTATGCAGATTAAAATTCAAATTTCGTACGCATACTGCATCACAGGCAAATGCAAACGCACACACTAATACTTGTACGCTCACTTAAACGCTTACAAAATATTTTGCATTCCCGACCGAGCATATGCACTACGTCGAGTGTAGATACTCGTAGACATATGTACATATAGATATGTACACATGCGGTGCTGCATATTTTTGTTGGCTGCTATTTCCATGTTTATACATAGTTATGTAGCTATTCATCTGGATACCATGGGATGCCAAGTGCACACGCACGCATATGCGCAATAATACGTACATATGTACACACATATCCGAAACATAATTTCACGCATCTCGACCTAAAAGACGGCTGTTACTTTCCTCTTAAATTACTTTATAACAAATGTAGGAAAAATTCAACCCGAAAGTCATATTCATAACATACATACATACCTACAAAAGTAACTACGTAGCTATGGGACGTTCCATGTCAAACGGACCTAAGGTCTGTCCAAAATTCTATGTAATAGATATTAACGTAAAGCATGTCAAAAGACTCGAAAATTTATAATGCCGCAAACAAAATGTGGCAGAATCGAAAATTCAGTAGTGCACATTTAAATATGCGAGCCTATAACAGCCAGTTTCACGAAAGCAATTTAAGTGAAAAATTATTTTTTTCAGTTTCACCATTTGACTTAATTTTTATTTAAATGGTCACCTTTTCCCATTTAAATATTATTTAAATACGATGATATGCAGCTATGTTCACGTTTTTCTATCAGCTGATTTGAAAGTAGCAGAAGATAAATATATTGTAAAAAATGGAATCTGAAGACGAAAGTGATATGCAGTGCGAAATTTTAATAAATATTCTTATAAATCGTCGTCCTCGTATAATGAGGGAACGACGTAATTGTTTTACATATTATGATGAAGTCGACTTTCGGTATAGGTTTCGTTTGACTAAACAATCAGCTTGGATGGTACTTGAACTGATTAGGAACGAAATTCGGCACAAAACTAACAAGTAAGTAAACATTAAAGTACCTTCGATTACAAATTCTGCTATTTTTTGATAAATATTGTAGAAACGGTGCGATCTCTCCCGAAGTAATGCTTTTACTAACACTGCGTTTCTTTGCAACTGGCTGCATGCAAAGAACTGGCGGTGACCTGTGTGGCGTTTCAAAAAGTTCTTCCTGTCGCGCAATAAGGAGAGTGTGTCACAACATTGCATTGTTAAGACAACGATTTATAAAAGTCCCCTTGGAATTAGAAAGCCAAAGAGAAATTCAGAGACAATTTTATAAAACGGCAAAGTTTCCACGCGTGCTAGCTGCCATGGACTGCACACATATAAGAGTACTATCTCCAGGTCAGTACATTAAATAATTTCAACTAATGAGGATTATCTAAAATGCGTCACTATTTAGGTGGGGATGAAGCGGAACTCTTCCGAAACCGAAAGAACTACTTTTCAATTAATGTGCAAACGCTTTGTGACAGCAAACTGAACATCATGGACATCGTAGCCCGTTGGCCAGGATCGTCACATGACGCCATAATACTTAAAAATTCAAGAATATTTAGCCGATTTGAAGCAGGGGATGCAATAGTCGTTGCTGACAGTGGCTACCCTTGCAATCGGTGGATAACGACACCTTTGTTAAAAGTACAAACTCCGGCTGAGGCGTTATATAACGAATCGCTAATCAGAACTCGTAATTGTGTTGAACGTCAATACGGTGTGTGGAAACGAAGATTTCCAGTTCTTGCGCTGGGAATACGAATGAATCTCAGGGAAGTGGAATGTATAATCGTTGCAACCGCAGTTTTACATAACATTTGCAACTTAAACAACGATTGTGTCGCACCAGCAGTCTACGAAAATGAAATAAATAATATCATCGATGCAATTGTTGAAGTACCCACAATCTCAACTTCAGGTCGAAATGACAATTTATATAGAAACCATATAATAAAAAACTATTTCGGTATCAAGCATTTTCTTTCATACAAAGTACCTTTTTATATAGAAGAAAGTGCATAACCGCGTCACCAAAAAAATATAAAAAATAAACGGGATTTTCTAGAAACTACAAACATGCAGCTTATTGCATTAAAATTTGATAAGCCATAAAACTGCATACCAAAAAGGGTTCTCGAAATTCGAATTAAAAACCTTAGAACTGTGATGGAAAGTTTGTGGAGTTTTTCTAATTTTGGCATAAAATCAGTGTATGAAACGAAATAAATGTATTAAATGAATGCATGAAATTAGCAATACTTTTCTAAATAATTAATGAACATAAAACAAACTGTAAAAGTAGTTAAGACCGTTCAAAGCGCTACAATTCAATTTTTTTAACATAGGGGTTAAAATTAAGTATTTTCAATTGTTTTGAGTTTATCCGAAAGTATTCGCATTTCAAGGGCATGCTTCTCAGATGCAAATTGTTTTTGTAGTTCGTGTACTTTTTTCATTTGCGTAATACGTAAAGTGTGCTCGATTTTCGCAAATTCCACTTCTTCTTTCAGTTTTATTTCCGTCCATTTGGACTTTATTTCTGCTAGCTTTGCCCAACTTGTGTGTTTTCTGTTTACACTTTCAGTGCAAAGCTTCTTGTTTTTAGGCGTTTTCAACTGCATTGGTGTGTAGTGCTCCCAAGGCTCATAATCTGCAAACAAACAAGCTATGTAATTAGAATTTTAAAATTATAAAACATTTGCTGTTGAAGCACGAAGCCTTGTGCTTGTTTATTGTTCACGCAAGCCCATATCATCGATTACACATCTGTGAATAGTTTGTGATATTTATTAATTGATGTCTTGCTACTTCAATAAACAAACTTCATTGTACCACCTTCTTCTTTCATCGTTTGGCTTTGCACCACTTGCTCGCTTTGAACATTTCGCTGCTGAGGATCAGTTCCAACTGTTAAAAGGCCAAACATACATAAATGTACATGTTAGTCATAATTATCATTTGGTAATTTGCAACTGTGTACATACCTGAATGATCCAAATCTGCAGAATGTTTATCGAATGGTAGGAAGTCGTTGTCGTATTTGGACTCCATTCCCTGCATTTGTTTCTCCGGCAATATCTCACTCAGTAATATGTCAATACTGGAAGCAGCTGGCACTCTGGATGGACCTCCGCCCGTCCCATATGCATACTTTTTCTGGTCTGCAGATCGTTTTTTCATGTCTGCTTTCAAGTTCAAATACTTTGTTCGCAGATTTTTTGCTGACCGTGGTGCTCCGGAGCACATCGAGTTGAAACTCTCCGCTACATTTTCCCATGCCTTTTCTTTTTGATCGAGACGCACTCTCCCCGTAGCTTTACACTCCAAAATTTTTGCATTTTTCCGCACTAGGCTTAGCAAAGTACTGATTTCATCTGTTGAAAAATTTTTGGTTCGAGCTGCACTTTCCATTTTGAACTTTTCTAATATAACACCACAATATATTTGTTTACATAAATCAGCTGTTATTTCTACTAACATCCCTGCTTTTAAATTTTTGGGTTGCCAAATCTGAATAATGGTGAAACGCAGGAAACTTAAGTGCAAAGTTAAATAAAAATTAAAATTAAAATTAAATCCGAGTTAATTTGCAATGAACAAATTTGGTGAAACCGACTGTAAGAAAAGGTCATGCCCGTAAAAGGGTAAATAAATTTGTCTTTCAGTTTGTTAAAACCGTTGTCAGATATTAGGTAAAGTCGGATTGCAATGTTTTTAGGGTTGCTGATCACGAATATAGCTTCACAACTTCGATACTAAAAATGGTGGATCCAATAAAGCGGAAGATTTTACTTATAATTTATTACTCGGGGGATATCGGTGAATAGGTAGGTGAATAGGTATCTGAAGTCAGATTTGAAAAATTAAAAACGGTGGACCCAATATGGCGGACAAAAATATTTAAATCGACTGGTCTCGCTTAAAACTTTACAACTGAGGGTTCGTTAGGTCGCTGGTTATGAATTTGAAATCAGATTTTAAAAATTTGAAATTTTGGGCCCATATTAGATCTACCATTTACCATGAAAAATTTATATCGAAAATAAGTACATGGCGTATGAGTAACATTCTCATCTCGGCTGGGTAACTCATATGCCATGTACGTCCGGTCGATTTTAATATCTTTGTGATAAATTGTAGATCCAATAAGGGTCCACCATTTTGAAGTTTTAAAATCTGATTTCGGGAACCCCCAATTTTAAAATCTTAAGCAGTTTTGATATTTTGGTGAAGAATTGTAAATTTCCGAATAAATTTAAATCCGATAAATTTAAAAAAAATCTTCCGCAATTTTTAAAACGAAATTCTGATGCTATGGTCGTGATCAGTGACCCGCAAAACATAGGAGTCCATCTTTACCTAATAACTGACAACTGTTTTAACAAACTGAATGACAAATTTATTTACGCATTTATGGACATGATGTCTTCTAAAGGTCGCAACATTTACGTAAAATTGAACATTAAATTCTGCCATATTTTACTTGCTGCATTATAAATTTTAAGTGCTTTACGTTAATTTCTATCGCATAGAATTATGGGCAGTGCTTTGGCCTGTTTGACATGGAACGAAAATCTTCAAATCTAAAGTATTTTTATAAGGCCATAAAAAAAGTGTTTTTCATCACAAATACACCGTTCTAGTACTTACCCACCGGATACCCGTTCTTATTGCTCTTGCGTGCCACTTTAATGTCAGTAAATTTAAGCTCAACAAAAATCATTAAACTTTTGCTAAGTGTCTAAGGGTTTTG